TAGTTAGTTAGTTAGTTAGTTAGTTAGTTAGTTAGTTAGTTAGTTAGTTAGTTAGTTAGTTAGTTAGTTAGTTAGTTAGTTAGTTAGTTAGTGCACTTTAAATCACTAAAAGCATGTCTGACCTGGTAACAAGCTTCAGAAAGCTTCCGATGCTGCTGAATAAAAATTGTAAATGCTTGAAATGTTTTGGACAAGAACGTGTTTTTGGTGAGAAGATATAAAACTGTGTCTGTTGTAAATGTGAAAATACAGGCACAAAAATACAACTCTGTCCAAATGTTAAATCTGCAACTTCAAGTTGAGAAACTGGCCTGAACTACAATTATTTTGTTATTTATTGTAAATATAATTCTGTTGAACAAAAGTAAGAATAGCTGTAGTTCTGTTGCAGCTAATGCGGATATTAATGAACAAATAATCAAGAAGTTTAAGTTGTTCTAAGCAAAACACGTAACAGTGATTTCAAATTGAATTGGTGAAAATCAAAGATATTGCGTTTGCATGTGTTTCTATGATTTTGGTATTAATCAGACCTCCTCAGGCCAAAAGGCAGAAATATTTAACAATTCGTCACCTCTGTCTCTGGAGAGCGTACTTTCATTACAGACCTGAGAAAAAAGAAGAAGAGAGGATGAGAGTTCACCATTATCCTTCAACAACAAGCTCTTTTAAATGAGTCGTTCTTACAGTTTTGTTCAACACTAGTTTTTATACAGAAAACAAAAAAAAAGGACTGACACAGCCAAAGCTGAGAATATTGCTTTCTGATTATAATGAAGTGTTTCAGAAAAGGTGGCAGAAAAAGCATCACAGCATCAACATCATTTCAATTTTAGCTTTAGGACAAAGCTGCATCAGCAAGTTTTAAAATGTCTTTTGACCTCTGATAGTTTGCGTCACTGACAACASAAGAGAAGCCTTTAATGTGATTTACTTTAACATCCAGACAGGTATCACTTTGACTTGTACTTTACAATAAACCTGTTTGTAAATGAGGGGAAAATACTGTAAATTAATGCTTTTCCACAAATGTCCACTAGGTGGTAAGCAAAAACCCTAATTTTATGAAGTGATCTTGATCATTAATTTTATGAGCTTTTCTAAAACAATTTTCAATGTTTTRTGGATTATTATTTTTCCCTACTTTGTTTTGTGCAGCCTGTGTTTAAAAAATGGTTAAAGTGGACGATAAATGAAGCTCCTACACATGAGCAGGAAGCTTCCAGACAAAGTTGTTTTAGGCCTGAACGCTACATCAGTCAGAGTTAAATGGATTAGAAATTAAAAATATCCTTAAACTGGACTGAAAATGAGTAAAAAAAAAGGCAGCCAAAGTCCAATGAAAACATTTCAAATCGATTGATGAAAAGATTACGACAGCATTCAGACCTTCAAGCCGAACATAAAGAGATGAGAAACGACTCAAGGCTTTCGCACGGTACCGTGTGAAAGTGGGGTTTGTTTTTACAGATGTGATACGTGTTTGTTTTAACAGCTTCTCTGCAGCAGATATTCTGCCCGCAGCTCTCTGCAGATGTGGTTCAGAGGAACTGAGCTCCATGTTCAGGGTGTAGCTGAGCAGAGCCAGGCAGCCAGGCAGCCCCCCAACCCCAGGCTTCAGGACCCTGTGGGCCTCTTGGAGAATCCGCCGCCTGTCAAACCAGTGGAATGCTGACATGGCTGTCACTGGGTCCACTGAGCCATCAGTAAAAGGCAGCTGTTCTGCCGCACACTGTCTGAAGATGCAAGACAAAAACATAAGAAACCACAAGTCTAAGATTATCTTCAGTGACGTGTGGGTTGATATTAACACATCGATACCACCGTTAACTTTGTGGTCTAGAATCGATACTAAAATCAAAATATCAATACTTCCATACTTGTTTAAATTATTGGAAGGAACTACTTTTTCTTCTGCTATAATGCATAAGCACAGTGGCATGTGCTCGGTCAGTCTATAGACGTTACAAGTATGGAAGGTCACTTTAACATAAAATCAACTTCGTCTGAATGGTTGTGTTCCTCAGAATTGAGTGATTTATTATGCTGTCTTGTGTTTTTATGTATGCATTGATGCCTCATTATGCAAATAAGGTGGGCGGTACTTCAGACTTCAGCTCCTCTCTTATTGGTCAACAGACAGGAAGGATCAGGATCCATGTGCAGATTGATTGTGAATGCTTGCACTGCAGTAGTAGAATCAAACTATTACAATTTAGAAAGAGCAATTTTCTAAAACAAAACAAACAAAAAAATTTTCTGGATTTCTTGGATTGTAGAATATGAGGGTGAGTTTTTATTATGATTTATTTTATTTATCTTTTCCCTGTTGTACTTGTATCAACCATAAAGTCAACTAC